GAAGGACCTGTTTGAAAGGTGTCCTTTGAACTTCTATGACCTTATAACTTCGATAACCTAACAACTTCTATAACCTAACAACTTCTATAACCTAACAACTTCTATAACCTAACAACTTCTATAACCTAACAACTTCTATAACCTTTGAAAGGTTATAGGAGAGACCTATTGCGTAAAGATGGTTTTTTGTTTTAATGAAGTAGCCAAGTAAATTAAGAGCTAGTTTCAACTCTCTATGGTCAGAATGGTGTGGTAGCAATAATATCTGTAGCTGAGGTAACTGTATGGTTTCAATCCCTTCCCTGTTGGAAAAGGGAAGGTAATAGTAAAGCTGGTAGTTTATGAAGATTAGGAGTGTGGAAGGTGAAACTGCATGCCCAGATAGGTGAGAAAATGTAAAGCATATATGCTACCCAGTGAAGGAAGAGGATCTATTCAGTGTTTCCTGTGTGGCTGTATCTCTTAATTACGATGTGCTGTACAAATGTGACCCAGAATACACCTTTGGGGCCTTTTAAATGGCACTCATCTGCTATCTGAGTGACAGCTGTGGGCAGTAGGGGTGAGGTGGTTTTTTTCTGCTGCAGTGAGGTGCTGCCACGCTGTTCGGCACCTTCAGACTTTCTGCAGTTCTAGACTCATGAACTAGGGAGGCATGCTTGTTAGAGTGCTGGTGTAATAACAGCGGTTATATTTAAATAAAATAATCCTGTTGAAGTAATTTTTGTCTAGCAGTGCATGTCAGTTATTGAGCAGGGGCACATACACAACCCAGATCTCCAGGTCAGCGTTCAGTTGATTGAGCCTTGAGACCATCTGTTAGTCTGGTTTCTTGAGTTGTTTTTTGTTGTGAATTTTTACTCTTTCACTTAGGTTCTCTGGAAACAACTCTTCATTATGCAGCATTCATCTGTTTTCAGAGTGGGTACATTCCCTTCACTGACCTAACATGGAATTTAGTGTCTGGGGGGGAGGAGGGGGTGGAAGGGTTAAGTGGTCCCTAATCTTATAATTTAGGACTGTAACCATACATAGGCTTGGAAATTCTAAGTCTGGCATTTACTAACTAAGGTTAAAAGGTAGAGAATTCTTAAAGTTGAGTGTATCAGTATCTCTGAATTACTGCTGCATAATTTCCTTTCCATTGTTTATTTTGTCTGTCCTGTAGCTTTTGGTAACTATTGTCTTGAGGCGTTTGAGGTTAAAAAGTTCAGTAGGACTTGGTTTTCAAAAAAAACTAAACCTCTACTGCAGGAAATGTTTTTGGTAGAATAAAAAGTGCAAGAGGAATAGAGACCTCCGTATTTCACCATATAAGTCTATTATTGATACTTGGCATGTGCAGTTCCTTATCTTCTCCTCCCCTAAGAGAAATACAGTTATTTGTTACCAGAGAGGACGCTGTACAAACTGGAGAATTAAAGAGCATTCTGTTGGCGTGATTTGGGCTTTCTTAGCCTGTCTTAACCTCATTCAGAGAAATAGTAAAGAAGCCCTGAGCCTTTCTGCTTCTAGTGATGAAGCTGCACCTGTTTGGGATTAGAGTCCTTGAATATCCGAATGTAGGTGCCATTTAAGTTGGGATTTGAAAATGCTTCTTTTGGTGGTGTCTCATAGTTGTCTGTTATATTATTTAAGATGTTACTTATGCTTGTGTTTGGTGGAGTAGTGCTAGAACTAGTAAAGGTAGCCATAGTTTGTCTGAAACTAGTCTGTGGCTGTTGGATTTCTATTCAGCGGAAATGACAAAGATGAGGTACAGGATAGCTTCTACGCCTGAATTCTCATCACTTGGATTTTTGGCTCCTCTCATTAGTGAAAGGAGGTGAAAGCTTTTTGCTGTGGAGAGGTGACACTCTGAGAAGGTGAACTTCTCTTATGCTCTTGTTTTCCTGTGGCCCTAGAACTGAGAATGCTGTGTGGGATCCCCATGCTTATAGTTCACTTCAGTACTTGTTTGAAGGGTTGAGTCCTAGTTAATCTGAAACTGAGCCTGACAGATACCACTACCAAATTGGCAGTACCTGTCGCACTCTTTGGCGTGAACAACTCTCTGAAGTATGCAAATCCTCTTCCATCTTCTGTTTTCTGGAGAATGGCAATGACTAGAAATATTTTTTTAATGCTGCTAGCTCTGGATGGAATTGAAAGGTCTTCAGATAAGGATTTATTGGTCTGGATGTAGCTTGCAAGAATATTTACATTACACGCAAGTGGTCAGCTGCACCGCCTTACTTCAGCAAATCCTTGAGTTTGCCACAATTTCATTTTATGCACTTCACCTCTGCAACACAGTAAGACAACTTTAATTCTACTAATAGTCACCAGACCAGGAAATGTGGGTGTGTTTTTTTCTGTTTTGATTTGCAAATATAAATTTTAAAGCTAGCTCTTTTGATCTGTCTCAGGGTAGTCCCATGGGTAAGTTGTGATGATGCACAGAAAGTGTAGTGGTGCTTTATATTATAATAGGAGTGGTAATTAAAGCTAATGTTGTTGCTGAGGTTAATGCTGCCATACCACAGCCAAAGTACAAGAGAAATTCTTCTTTCCTGCCTTATGCTTCTAGGGACTGATCTTATGGTCCAGTGAGTGGTTAAATAGCAGCTTTCTACTTGTATGAGTGAAGTCATTTGCTTCTGCTTTAAGGAGAATAGGTATTCAAAAGTAAAAGTTGAAGACCACCGAACACAAGGTAATCAATACATCTGGCCATATTATTGAATATGACAGATTACCTTCAACTTTTCATCCCCTCCCTGCCCTTTTGCTGAAACTGACTATTCTGATGGTCTCAATGTGTGGTAATACTGCAGGAAAAAGTGAAATGGTATTTGGAGGGGAAAAAAATACCAAAGATACTATGAGATATGTGAGTCTACTTGCGTTAGAGGACTGTATTACTCATTAGTTGCAGTTAGATTTCTGGTAGTTAAGATTTTGTTAAAATGTCTAGTGGAATGCTGAGTAGTTCTTCTGGTATATATTGTTATAGTCTCTTCTGTGGCCTCTAAGTGATACAAAGGCAGAGATACATTACATTAAGTTTCCGGTTTCTTTAAAGTGCCATTGGAATGTTGATTTCCTGCACCATGGTAGTTGTGTTCTTCTGAAATATGGAAGCAGCATCTTGGTTAATCTGCTTGGTGATGTGTGCAAACACCAGAGCTGTCAATAGTCTAAACAGATCCCAACAAGAAAACCCAGCATGTGTTTTGGAACTCTTTTCCACTGTTTGGACAGTTCATATTCAGTGCATTTTTTTCTGGACTACTGAAGTTCTTGTTAATGTGATACTTAACTTGAAATAGTGTTATGACCAACACATTCAAAAGTAAATACAGGCCGCCTATACCTGCAGGTTGTTGTTTTCTGTGTACTAGATAAGTAGGCTCAGTTGATTCACAAACTAATCAGGTTTTTATGTGATAAAGGAATGGAATGATTGATAAAATGAGTGGTAAATCTGCCACTTTAGTGATCCTGTCCTTTCTTCAGACTGCTTGGAGTCTATTTCTTAGAATTAAGAAACGGCATGAGTTCTTGGAGATTCTGTTACTCTTCAACAGCTGATTTTAAGTTCTTCATGCTGGGTTTTTCACAATCCAGGAGTTAGAGGAAAATCTAATTTAATTAGGGAGTCGGTTATATTTGAGAAATCCTCATACAGTCCCTCTATGGCTTTTAAATATCTTGAGGCAAGACCAAGCTTGCCTGCAAACCCAATATTGAACTGGCATTAATAGCTGGCTAGATACTGTTGACTCATGTCAGTCATCTTAGTGCTATCTCACTAAAGACAATAAGAAAAAAACCCTCTTAATTGTGCCTGAGTGTTATAGCATACTTGTATTTGGAATTCTAGTCTTTGGTAAGTATCAGAAAACCCAGGTAAGCCCTCTGGGCAACCAAGTTGAGAAACATGTTAAGTGTAGAAGTTGTATCTGTTTATATCCTACAACTTTGAGATACAAACATGACTTATTTCAAAGCAGTATGAAGGTCTTTCTTAGTTGAGAGCAGGCAGATCCTAAGCATATTTTTTCTGTCTTACCTTCTCACTCTCTTGCAGATCTTGGAGCTTGAAATCTCTATTGTAGTAACAAAGGCTTCCCAAGTTGAACAAATGTTATGATCACTCTGTTTGGATATAGCGGAAACTGCTAATTTGGGAGTAGTGCCTTGGCAGATTATTTTGATAACCATCTGTATGTGGTAGTGGTGTGTTGCCAACTGTTCAAGTAGTGTTGCCAGAGTTGGGTTTAGGATTTGTTAGTGTTACAGTAGGAGCGGCCTGAGCAGACAGGCAGGATTTTGAAAATGTAAGGGTGTTTCTGGTTTTGCCTTTCTTGCACTCCCTTTGTAACATCATGTAATCTTACAGAGAACACCAGGATAAGTAGGAATGGGGGTTTTGGGAACTTGGTTCAGAGGGTGTGGGTACTGAAGAACTTGTTCCATGTCAATAGAGGAAGAAGTGCTGACCTACTAGGTAGAAGAATAATGTGAAGAAATGCCAATGGAACCTACGTATTTGTAGCTTAGAGTAGTGATGGTGGAACAGCTAGAAGCTTACCTCTCTAGTGATAGGCAAGAAATCGTCTCCTGTTGTATACTTGAACTTCAAATTAAAACACAGGATCAGACTAATGAGCAAGATTATTTTTTTAATATAGAGGAGGCTTGTAATGGGTATTTCCTTATGTAAGTAGGAAAGTTGTGCATGTTTGTTTAGTAGTTTTAAATGTTTAAAGTGTTTCACATAGGCCTTACTGTGGGAGGGATGGGGACAATATAATTACTTTTCTTGTTTTGTACGTTTAGGACTCTCATATCTTCCTGTTCCCTTAGAAGAAAAATGTGTTCTGTATTAACTGGAAATGCTGTCTCTTGTTTATTCCTTGCACACTCACAGAAAGCCACGAAGAAAACTGACAAACCCAATGTGTTCTGTATTAACTGGAAATGCTGTCTCTTGTTTATTCCTTGCACACTCACAGAAAGCCACGAAGAAAACTGACAAACCCAGGCCAGAGGAGAAGGATGACCTAGATGTAACAGAGATGAGTAATGAAGATCTTCAAGAGCAACTTGTGAAATATGGACTAAATCCTGGCCCGATTGTAGGTAGGTCAACTGAACTAGCAAATATTCATCCGTTCAACATATTTCTCACTGAACCTCAGTTCTGAGTACTCTGAGCTTCTCTGATACAGTTGCTTATTAAGTTTGGTACCAATACTGTTACAATCCTACTTCCCACTTAAGATGTTTTCATTGAACTATTTACATTGAGAAGACTCGAAGCATTGCAGTGTAGGCAAGTCCACAGTTTGTTCCTCTTGTGTTCTAGGCCAGCTGGAGATGTTTCAACTTCTGTTCTGAAGCTGTATAACTGTTAGTTAAAGTTCAGTGCTGGGGTAATTAGGTCTTCTAATACAGAGGTTGAGATCTGGGGCCTGCTTAAATAGAAAATACATCTTACATAATAAGCTAATAGCATTGAGAACAGAATGAGAACATGGGAAGTTCCCTTCCCTAGAGCATTTCCTACTCACTGCGTTGTGCAGTAATGTTTTCCTTTGCTAATTTTTTTTTCTGGCCTGTCCTGGTTTTGGCTGGGATATAAACCAGGACACGTCCCCTTGAACCTAGTGTTTTATCCTGCATGCTAACCTACATCAGGAGAAGTCCTGACCCCAGCTTAATCTCCTGCCTTGGGCACTCATATGTGATGAGGAATCAAAGCTCCTTGCCTTTCAGATTGTGCCCTAGCCTAATGGCAAGGGACTTTGATTTCACAGCTCTTCAAAAAAAGATGGTCGCCTGTAGTGTGCTGAGCCTTCTGTGGAATGTTCTTGAAATCCTGGGTGGATGGAAGTGTCAGTGATAGAGCCTGGAGTCCTGTGTCTATTTAAAGTCTTATGCATAATATTTTCTGTTAGCTGTTTCTGTATGCCTTCCCATTCAACCTATTCTTCTTGGATAGTGCTCAAGTCTTCTGAAAAATTCAAGTACCGATGCAGTTCACTGGAAAGATGTTCAAATTTGGTCTAAGTAAAAGCCTTAGTTCTTACAGGGTATGGATTCTGTTTCTTGTGAGAGCCTGCCGCTTCTTTTTGAGGGTGGCTTCCTCTTACCTGAAATCTTCTAAGGTTAGAGTTTTCTGCAGCTAACAGCTCAGGCACCAGTCACCTCTGCAGATTTTTGCCAGCACAGTCCTGACATGGAAGTATGTGCTAGACTTGATACCTTTTAAACAGCTGTTCTCTTAGATCAAGTGTTGCAGCCTGATGGCTAGACGCAGCAAACAGAAGTTCTGATGTTGCTGCTTACTTGCAACACCTCTGATGCTTATTGGAATGAATTTGCCAACAGGGCAAAGCTTAAACTAAGTGGGAAGGGGTGCTAATTCCAGGGTGAAGGGATTAAGAGGATAATGGTGGAATCTGCATGGAAACTGTTGCCCTTGCAATATCAGTCTCACTAAATTTTTTGTGAGGGCATAACTCCTCGTGTATTGCAGCATATGAAACAAAACATCTAAGAAGCTGGTAAGTTCCCTTTCCATAGAGAAATGCTTGTAACTTTCAGTGTACTAACAGGTCTAAGTCTATCTTAAGAATTCCCTTAAACCAAAAAGTTAGAAGCCTTAGACATAGTTCTATACCTAGAGGTATATGCTTTGGGCCATACAGATAGATTAAAAATAAAAAACATGCGTTCAGAGATTCCTAGGGAATATATAACAGGTAAGTTCTAGCAATCAAGTCAGGAAAGATGAAAACTGTATCTTTAGCTTGTATCCTTCCTTGTTATAGCTACTACTAGGAAACTTTATGAGAAAAAACTGTTGAAACTGATGGAGCAAGGTCCAGAACTGAAGGCACCTGTGCCTCTCCCAGCAATTTCTTCAACTGCTGAGAACACCAGACAGAATGGAAGTAATGATTCTGACCAGTACAGTGACAATGAAGAAGGTAAGACTTAAGTGGAACTTGCATGTGAACTATTCAAATTATACATCAGCAATACTTGCAGTAGAAGAAATATCTAAGGAGGGCGTGATCTTGCTGTTAGGTGAGGCTTTAAGATACTGCTGTAGACCATGTGAGTCATGTACTTGATCATGCAGTACTAGCACAGTGATCCAGGTGCTTGTTCTGGGAAAGGAAACTTCTTGCTACTAAACTGTTCCCTTTTGTCCATTTTCCCCAGATTGGAGCCTGTAAATCTGATAGGTAGGAGAACTGCATATGAAGTGTTCAGTGCTGTTTGCACTTCATCTTTAAGTGCAAGTGCAATTTTGTCTTACGGTGCTTACAGTAGTTATCTTTGCTATGGGATAGTGTATCAATGTTTAATAGACTTCTGTACTTTTTTAATATTGTTTAATGTCTCATGTATGACTCAATCCCTTTTATGCTCTGTTCCTTATGGACTTAGTTTGGGGGGGGTTGATTGATTGGTCTTGGGTGTGGTTTTTGCAGTTTTAATATCAAGTTTATGTCAAAGTGTAGGAGTGGGGGAAGTGCAACCTAAAACACACCATCATACATCTTACAAAAAGTAAAAACTGTGTAGACTTTAAAGAGTGTCTTGAATGGAATGTTAGAATATGCTTATTTTCTGTGGTTTGGTTTTGGGGGTGGGGTTGGTTGTGGGTTTTTTTTTTTTTTTTTTTACAGGAACTTCCATGGAGACAGGACAGAAAGGGTTGAAATACAACTAGGAACTTGATGGATCTCCCTTGCGTATTTGGGCTTTTTTTGAACTTTAATCTCTTGCACTTTCAGGTGGGGAGGGGGATGTTAGATTTATTTAGTTATTTTTAGGACAGCCAAGAGCCCAGTCACAACTGACAGCTATCTCCTTAAACTTACATATGCTTCATCTAATTACCAAACTGTTCAAACACTGGGGGTGGGAACCAAAACCAAACACATCCCACCCCCCAGCAAAAAAAAGTTTTCTGTGAATAAACTCTATATATGTTGGTATAATGCTATTAGAATTTTAGAAAGGGGTTGGAAATAATACATCCTCTTACTGGTAAGATGACTGCTAACCACTCACCTTTCTTCTGCATCAAAAAGGAGTTTTATATAAAAGGATCTATTTTAAAGGAAACGAAACTAACGGCCTAAACAATGTTGAAAAGCTTCAATACCGTTACTACAATCAGTAGTATAATGGTACTTTGGTTAAAGCAATTGCAACTTGATACCGGTTTCTAAATGGAACTGCTGGATTGGTCAAAGCTTGTCTGAAATGTAGGGGTTTTAAGACAATACTGGGGTCAGTGTTTTAAAATAATTTTTAAGGTTATTGTTCAAAAGTCTTTGTTCTTCTACATTCAATGGAGAAACTTGCCTGTATCTTGCAACTTTTTAAGAAAATGGTAACTCATAACAGAGTTATGTTGCCTCTTAAAATGAATTTTTATTAAAATACAATTGGTTTAAACTAGTACAACAACCAGTAGTATTATAGAAACTAGTTATATTAAAACTGGTTACAGATTCGAAGACTGAGCTGAGGCTTGAGAAGAGAGAACCATTGAAAGCCAGGACAAAGACTCCAGTAGCACTCAAACAAAGAAGAGTTGTTGAACACAACCAGGTATGTTTAATTTAGTGGTATCTGGAATAGCTACTAACTGCAGGTGATGTGCTCACTAAATACCTTACTACTTTTAACGTAATCACATTTGACTAAGTGAGCTATGCTATTTTTTTAAAAGTTCTTTCAGAAAGCCTGTACTAATACAGCATGAAAATCTTGTGAATTAACTAGCTGCTGTTTTTAGCCTGTCTGATAACATCTAAAATTACGGTCTGCTAAAAGCTGTTTGTCTGACTTGCCAGCTGCTGTAGCACCTACTAGAGAAAAATAACAGGCAACCTTAACATGTTTAGTTTTGGAAACCCGGTAGGTTTTTAAGTCAGATGGGCTGATATCATCCTGTTGGATGTTTGTAAACAACTTGATTCAATAAAAGAAGCTGTTTCTTAAAAAAAAAAAAAAAGTTTAGAAAACGGTTGGTTTTTGTTTTGTTTTTTTGTGTTTGTTTTTTTGGAAATGTTTTTAAATACATATACATCATATTTCTATCTATATGGTTTGATATCTATAGATACATGTATGCATTTAAATACATATGTGTAATGGCTGTGATTTAAATACAATACATGAAGTAATGTTCTTCTGTATATGCCTATATTTATATATATAGAACTGTGTGTACACACATGCACTAGCTATCCATATAATATTTTTTCCTCATCTATGCTTGTAGCAGCAGTACTAGAGCAGACATTAATTTGTTAGAAAGCTTCTCTTAAGAAGAAAAATAATAAATAACAAGTTTAAATCTCACTGTATGTACCGCTTGTCCTTTACCTTTAAATAATATTAGTTCTATTGTCTTGGTGAAAGAGGGATTTTACAGAAGCACCTCAGGTTTTCACACTGCTGGCTGAATACTGGATTCGGTAGTTGGTGGCTGATCTGTCCTTGTGATGTGACAGTGTCACTAAATACCCTGTTCCCCAGCTTAAGTTACTTAAGATCTTTACAGTGTTATTCATCTGACCAAGAAGTAGTGGACTTGTGCTACAGTAAAGGACTTGTACAGAAAACATTCAGTGACTCAAAATCTGACCTGTTAATAGCTTTGATGTATTTTAGCAGATCAGTGACTTTTCTCACTCCTTTATAGTATGGTAAATGCCAGATACTTCCTATTTAGATAGTGTGTATGTATGTATAAACATGCTTTTGCTTTTGCTATGGATGTATCTTCAAGCAGGTAACACGCTGCTATGTGAGCTTTGGATAATACAACACAGTTATGGAGATCCATAACTAGTTCTGCTTATTTTTAATTGGATTTAAGATGAACAGATTTCACTTCTACAAATCAAAACACACAGTTCAACACACAAAGTATTCCTTAATTTATTCAGGCAACTTCTGCTCATGATGGTCTTTATAATGGGAATCTGAATCTTGAGGTTCTTGTATTTTAAGGATTACTTTTTTTTTTAATTGCTATGCACCCAGAAATCCCTGCCAGCCTCAGTATAATAGAGGTATTTAATTCAGCTATCAACAAACAAAGCTTCCTAGTTTTCAGGAACCCACTTACAGAATAAAAGGGAAGAGATACAGTGATGTATTTTTGTGGCATTTTCAAGTGATGAGTGTTTACTCAATTTTTTTGTCATCCACTTTCATTGTAATAGCATTAGGTCATTACTGTGTTTTGTCTTGCAATCTTTTACATGTGCAGTATAGATGCAATATTTTGCGACTTGTATATTTTAATTACCAGTAGTTAATCAAAGGAATATTACTTAGATTAATCAAAAAAGATCTAATTTCAAACCGATGCCAAATTCTTCAGAAACGCTTAACTCTCTAGCTTGTTAAACCTTTTACCCGACTGCTGTGGTTAAAAAAAAAAAAAACAAAAAAAAAAAAACCAAAAAAAACCATCAGCAAAAATTTACAGCTGCTTGAAGCCGAGAACAACAATGTTTTTGGCTAGCAAATGTGTGGTCATATATTTTGCTGAGAATAAAAGTGGAAGACAGGGAAGATGTTATCTTCTGTTTCTTTTCCTCTTCCTGTGAAATTGGATCTTAAGTTTGCAGCTGATGTATCAAGTGACCATACTCATTCTGCAGAATTATATGCAACTGTCACGCACTGTGTGGCATTGGCTCAAAGATTATGAGGCTCTGAAGAGTGGTGGGGCTGAATTGGTTGGTAGTGTGGTCTGAGCAGACTTGTTAGTCACTTCTAGGTCCTGTCCAGCACTAGCCTTAGTCCAGACGTACATAGCTGAAAGGATTGTCATTTGGCATGGATGGATGTTGCTATTCTCTTAAGAAAAGAGTGCAAATAGATAGTCTTTAAGCAGGCTGGTGCAAAAGAAATTGGGTGGGGAGGTTGAGCAGGCTTATGGGTCTTACCAGTCAGTTAGCAGTGGAGGGCTAGATGAATTTGAGCTCTGCTGTTTGTGCTTAATTGCCTCCTCATAGTGAACTGGAAAAGTTGGAAGAAAACCCTAATTTGAATGCCCCCTTCCAATCAGGTATGTGAATATAGAGTTAGAGTTCAAAACTGAGCCGAAGGCCTCATAGTAGATAGCACTGGACAGAAAGAGGCGGGCTACACAGCTTAAGTGTTAAGGAGTCCTAGCAATGTAGAGCTACTCTCTCTCCTTAAGACTTTGTATAGTGACATTCTGCATGTGCTGTGTTCTCCTACTCCTCCCTGCATTTTTTTGACTACCTGTATAGCTGGACTTCTTAAAAATAAAACATATAGCATTGCAGCTGCTGGCATACAAATTTCACGTGCTCAATAAAAATTCATTCAAAAAAATTTCATTCACTCAATAAAAAACTTCGTAAGTGATAGCTGAGGTAAACGCATAATCTATAGCTTCACTGCTCGTGAGTGATATGACAGTTAAAAGCACATGCGGAATAGTACTTGTGTACTACACCACTGTAAATTTCTCTGGTTATATACAGGGTATTGGTGTACCTAAAGATGAGTATTACATTCTAACAGGGTTTATTTAGTTCAGATATTAGTGGGATAAGCAGACAAGGCCTGCTCAATTGACAGTAACGATAACTATAACTGTAGACAACAATTTTCTTTAAATTTTGTCTGTTGAATATGCTCTGCTGAAGTCTGGATGGGTCTTATGCAGTAGACTGTTTTTTTCGTAGACTTTCATGCAAGAAAAAACTTGAAACTTGGTACTTAAAACACATGACTGACAAGCATCGGAAGAACTAAGGAGAGAGGCTGTTATTTACTGAAGTACTTTTAACTTTTCATTAGAAGAAAACTAGTTCCTAGTCAAACAGCCTGGGGCAGGGGAGCCCTCCATTAGTAGGATAAGGGAATTGCCGTACTGCTTTCTTGAGTGGAATGTGTTTTGAGTGGAATAATTCTGAAATTACTGTTTTTCTCTAAGGTTCTAAAGAAGAACACCTCTCAAATAGAAAGTGTTTGGGGGTAAGGTGGGGAGCCATGATTGAAGGTTGCAGGTTAAGCTTTTCTTAATAGGGAAGAGAAGCCAGTGTCTGGTGAATATATAAAGAAGGGTTGGGAGATCTTTCATCAGAAGTCTGTTTAAATTGAAAAGAATATTGGAGACTTAGGCTGAAATCTACAATTCTATACAAAACATCTGAATCTGTTTGCACTTGAGGCCTGTGCATAAATAAACATCATAGATATACATCACTTGGTTTTCAAAGTATTTTAGTGACTTTGGAGTAAAGCGAAACACTTGTGCTCCCTCTGCTGGTTATGTAGCAGCTGTAATACAGAACTTACATTAAGAATCATAAAGCTGCTCAGCTTCTAGTTTCACTGGAGTAACTTTGAAGATACAAGTGGGGAATGGATAAGAGCATTGTTAGACTTTTTTTTTTTCCTCTCGATAAATAAATACTTTCCAGCCTGCTCTCTTAACACATTGTTTTGGAGCTAATACTGTTCCAGTGCAGTTATTTCTGCTGTTAGACCTGTAATTGACAGTTGCACCAGTCTGTATAACTTCCATCAGCACTGAGTGTAACTTGGTAATACATCAATGCATGCGGTGTTAATGTGCAAAGACTTCAGTATTAACAAAGTAATAATTTTTATTTTTAAACTTAACCAAATAAAAAGGAAAACATTGTATATAATCTAGAAGAAGCAGGCCCTCATCTCCCTTTCCCTCCAGGTCTATGTTTGGAATTAATTTTGAGGAGGATTTTTTCTTTGAGCATAAAACTTGCACTAAGGCATTGGGAATGATGTGTGTTTCTTAATGGCTATGAAAGTTTGGCACTTAATGTTGTTACTTAGATTTGTAAAGTTCTGTGTCAGACTTGATCGTTTAAACCCGCTGTTATGTGAAAATTGTGTGAGTTTCATCTCTGTATGAAACTTAAGATTATAACACATCTCCCCCTGTCCCCTGTGGCTGGAGATTAGTTCCTGTTGAAACGTAGGTGGCTGTGCCTAAACTATTCCCATCTCTGTTTGAGAGAATAGACACCAATCTGGGTAGAGAACAAGGTGATGCTTTCTGCTTATGCTCATAGATTAATTTTTTTTGTGTAGGCAGGTGACATAATGGGCCTGAAAGGTAGCGTATCTGCTGTCCATGACCTGATGTAACTACTTGTAGCATTAGTTATTTCACATTATTGCAGTGAGCAGATTATCAGTTTTTACTGTTGGGCATTATCTAGTCAGTTCTGTATTTGAAGAATAATGTGCTCTGACATAAGTATTGTGTTCAACACTACTAATCTAGCTAGCTATTCATTATTGAATGTATTAGGATCCAAATTTGTTTTGGATTGTAGACACACTGCTTCTGGAGTATGCATGCGATTCTGGCTTTTGGTTGTGGGTATCCAATGTCGAGAGCTGGCTTTCACGTATTTGATCATGTGTTTGATGCTTGAATAGACCTATTCTCAAGATGGAGTTACTGAGACTGTCTGGACAAGTGGATCTTCAAAAAGTGGACCTCTGCAGGCATTTTCTAGGGAGTCTACAAGAGTGTCAAGAAGAACACCAAGGAAAAGGGTGATGAGAGGCTTATTATAATAGACAAGCTTTTTTTTTCTCACTGTTAGGGTCCCAGTGGCTATTTTATTCAATTGTTTTCTTTTGTTTGTTTTAAAAAAACAGGTGGAAGCTACAGCACAGTTGCCTGTAGATGATGCTGTAATAACAGAGAGTACTCCCATAGCTGAAACTATATTGACTGCAAGCAACGAGACCCTAGTAAATATGCTTAGTAAATATGTTTAATAAATCATGGAAGTGGTATTCCTCTGTAATATATCTTTACTGACAGAATCATTCTGTTTTGAACATAGTCTTACTTTCCTTAAAACAGTCTTCTATTCAGTAGTCTTTGAAACCACATATTCAGTATCTGTATTAGTACCTAATGCTGTTCACTTTGAGATGGGACTAGGTAGACACCTAGGTCCCATCTAATGTCTTTTGGGGGGGAGGGTTGAGTAGAACCACTTTAAAAGCTCAGATCCTTTCTTAATTTATTTAAGTACATGCAGAATATCTGCTTTTAAGTTTGGCTTTTCTTGCAAACTAAATAGCCTTTATGTTTCTAAATGGCTTAAAAGAAACTACTTGGAATGATAAGCAATGTGTTTCCTGTGCTTATTTCAGAGTATCTGTTACGTAACCCTCTTGAGTTAACTCCTAACATGCATATATGCAGTGCACATAAAGGTTTTGTTGTTTGGTTCTGCCCCCTTCTCGCTTTTATTTTGTATTTTGGCTGATTCTGAGTTTGAACAATTTTGAATCTCGGCAGGTTGTCAATAGGGTGCCTGGAAATTTCAAGCATGCAGCTCCTACGCTGTCAATCAGTGAACTCTCAGACATGCCCAGAAGAACACCAGAGAAACCATTGATGACAGCTGAAGTAAATAAATTAAAACTTAGATTGCTATTGCTTATTCTCTGTGAACAAGATTCTTGTGTGTATGTGCTTACTCATTAGTACAGAAGGGGGTGGAGGACGTCACTGCCGAGGTGGCACTAGTCAAAATAGACTAGCATAAAAGAGAGAATATAAACTAACCTTTATCTCCCCTTTTCAGATTTGGGTGTTTGGGTGTGTGTGTGGAAATCCTGCTTTTCTCCCTCTCCCCCCATGTGTTTTGGTTTGTTATTTCTACCTGTGCTGCTATTTTTCTGTACAAAATGTAGATTTTTTTCTTTTAATTTCTTTGAATAACTCAAAGACAGAGCAAAATTGTGGGTTATCTACCTTTGATCTTGTAAATCAGCCTATCCTGAAAAACCACAATGTGCCTTAATGTAGGGAATCAAAGAGTAGGATTACTTTAGACCAAAAGCCTGAATTTAAAAAGCATCTGTAGATTCCTGTCAATTACTAAGAAAGTAAAAGAATTATGTTCTGTTAACCTATTCAAGCTGTCAGAATTATATACCTTTTGGAGAACTGTAAAGCACTTGCAAGTATATGTAATGTATTAATTTAGTACTGTAATATTGTGGAAATTCACATGACAAGATAATGCTTGGCTGAATTTAAATGGAGTTCATTGCTTCATGTAGTTACTGTAGATAAAACTTGTATCAACACTTGTGAAGCCTATTCTACCAGTGGGTCTGAGACTTATGAAATGGGCTGCTTTATTTGTTTACAATGTGACTGTAATGTAGACTTAGTTCTCAAATAGAAGGTTGTGGGAAAACTTGATATTCTATTTCAGACTGCCTAAATTTTTTTTCAGTTAGTGTTCTACTGTACTGTGGCATTGTTTATTACAGCAAGAAGAGACAGATTGCCCACATCAATGCTTTTTTAATCGTGTTGGCCACAACCAGTCCTGTGATCTGCTCAACACAGCCATGATAGAGGTGATGGTTAAGTTTTTTGATCATCTGCATCATTGGCTGGCAGGTGTATTATATTTATACAATGTATTCTTTATCTTAAAGGAAACTGAGGAGAGCACTGAATGCTTTAAGACACCAAAAGTGACCAGACAGCTGCCACTAACAAAGGTTAAATTAACTTCTAAAACCCAAGAAGTAAACTTCTTGAATGTCACTGGGTGACTCGTTCATTCTTACAAATTGCACATGGTTATGGTCACTGAGATAGCTATGCAGGAGCTTTTTGTTTTGTGGTCTGTTAAGCCTATAACTGTTTTTGGTTCCTAGGTGCTGGAGAAAACTCATACAGAAGAACGAAGAGCAGAAAGGGATATTCTTAAGGAAATGTTCCCTTATGAAGTATCAACACCTACAGGAATTAGGTATTACTAATGTTTATGGGGGGTTATTTCTCAGTTCTTGTAAACCTGTTTAAGCTGAGAAGCATCTTTTGATTATATTGCTGGATTTCTGAGAAACAGTTTTTGCACTCTGGCTCAATGACAGTTGAGATGATCACCTATCTTTTCTGTTCTACATACATGGTTTTGTTAGCCGAAACAGTCTCTTCTCTATTTAAATTGGGGGTGGGAGGACAGGATATTACTGTAGCAGGAATTATTACTGGAACTTCTGGATGCTGGAGGTTAAATGGAAAGGGCTTCTCTGTGGTAATGGCTCACAATATTTAAGTTTTTGGCTAGATGCAACTGCTTTAGGCCTGCTGTTAAATTAAGGAAAGATCTCCCAGCATAGATTTGAGCTTTCTTTCTGAAAGCAAAAAAGAATTTTCACATACCCTATTTTCTTTTTCCTTTAAGTAGCAGTCCTGTTGTAGTCAAAGATTACTCTTAGCATGAATAAGCATGGCATTTAGGAAGGGCTATTACATTTTTCTTTGCAACTTTGTATTTAAACAAAAATTGAAACAACCCTCTGGATAATTAAGCAATTCACAAAACTTTGTCCTATTTAGAGAATATGAGGAAAAGTTTCCCTGTGTTAAGGTGTGAAATCAACTCCTATGTTTCCAACATGTTAATTATAGCTTCAATTTAAACTGCAATTGCATAAAGTCTTACCATAAGGAGAATGTATGGTACCAGTTACTACTACTGTGGCATATCTGCTCACCACTCAGCTTTGTTCTCTCTTGTTTTGAGGTCTATCAGTCTAGTTAAACTTATGCCACTTTTTAAAAATAAAAATCATGCACGTGTACTCCTTGTATATAAGGACTTGGCAATGTATGTGGGTTTTTTAACCCTTACTGCTTTGCCTTCTGGCTCTGTGTATTGGCTTAGCCATCAGTAGATATTTTAATGGCCAGGGACAATCTTAGGTTTAGAAATCCCAGTGGGGCTGCGTAAGTGATCGTTAAAGATGCAGACAGAAAGAGATACTTCCTAGAGTTTTACTGCCAGTTATGATCCATTGATTATGTGGATAGGGTGAAATAAAGTGGCATTTGAGGGTTTTTTAAGGGGTGTTTGTTTGAACACTGAACTAACTTTAAAAACAGTAATGATAGCCATGCTAGAGTTCAAGAGACAGATATTTCAGGTACTGCATTCACTAGAAATGATTTTTAGTTCTTCAATTATACTAAAATTTTCCTGTATATATTAGATTGCTCTTTTAAATATGCAATATTTTAATTTTTTTTTTTAATTGACAGTGCTAGCTGCCGTAGACCAATCAAAGGAGCTGCTAGCCGGCCTATAGAGCACAGTGACTTCAGAATGGAAGACAGTTTCTCTAAGTATGCTCCAAAATATGGTACCTCAACTGACATCAAGTCAGAGAAACCACCAACAAAAAAAGAACGCTCCATTCCCCTGTGGATAAAAATTCTTCTCGTTGTTGTTGTTTCGGTCTTCTTGGTTTTGGTTTATCAGTCTATGGAAACTAATCAAGGAAATCCTTTCTCTAAGTATATGAATACTGTCTCTGAGGCCGGTGCCAAATGAGTATCTTTCTGAAAGGCACACCTGATTTGATCTCCTGTTTTTAATTCTAGAGAACTCTTCTGCCCTCTTATCGGCTCAAGGACTTCTTACAAATAATGTGATTGGAACCTGATAAATTGGATAAATGAAGCAAGATAATATTAAACGGACATCGGTAACTTTCTGGACTTTGGACTAGTAGGAGATCACTTTGCCATAGGAGTAACATTTTTTTAGATCTTTGAACTTTTTGTAGGCTTTATTTTTTTAATGTGGACATCCTTTAAATTCGTTTTTGAGAAACTGTATATTTGTTTTTGCAAGAACTTGGAAGCTGAGAAGGGCAAAAATGTAGTAAAATGTGAAGCTGTGTTTTTAAAGCTTTTCCTTTGTACAGAAAAGAAGTTGTACTTTTGTCTCTATAGATTATTGTGGAGGAGGATTTTAACACAAGTGATAAAGGGAAATGCATCTTTCTATGCATTTTTTTCAGTAACAATGTAACTGAATTTGATCTTTTAGGATGTAGGGAGAGTACGACAACCTTTTCTGTAGATTACTGTAACTTTTTAGTAAATGTAACTGTAAAACTGTTTGCATTTCTGTAAAAGTCTTAGTATCATATTAGTAACTCCGTTTAAGCGTAACATCATTTAAATGTATCCCTTCATTTTAGTGCTTACAGTGTTGTAGGAGCTGAATACAAATCTAATTGGCAAGAGATGTCTTAGAGAAACTTATTTATTAGTAATATGTGTGGAAAATAAAAATTGCATCAATATAATTTGCTACTAAAATACTTTTTTGGGTCAAGATTGTTATCTGAAGTAGTCTAAATTCTGACTTTAGCAGTGGTCTTTTTTTTTTTTTTAAAAAAGAGAGGTCTTTCCAATACAGCTTTCTGTGATTATCTTTGAATATTCATGTAGAGAAGTATTCTCAAAGCGTGAAAATTCCATATGAAGTTTTATTCTTGTATGAAGAGGGCATTGCTGCATTTTCTGCTACAGTTTCATCTTCTAAGGTGAGATTTACTACTTTCATGCAGTTGAATATTTTTCTCAGTGGAAGCA